GCCTATCTCCAATGAAAGCACAAAGACGCCTCATTATCCATCAAATAATGTCACAAACACTGCAATGGCCATGGAAGCAGCCTACTTAATGATACCTTGTGGCTAGTGTCAGGAGTGCAAACTTTCGGTAAAAAACAGGACAATCATAGGGTTAGGATCCCCAACTAACCTGAGTTAGCCTGTGGACCTTATCATACTTTGAGTGGTGGTAGAGGAGGTTTTGCGGTTGGGACAGCACACAGGACGGAGAGCAAGTAGACGAAGAAAATAGATAAATTTCTGTCGGAAATCTTATCGAGCGCTGTCATTTGGCAAAGAAAGTGGGCGCGACAATCAAAGATGAATAAAATGCAGTTTTCAAAAAATAGCGGACCTTAAATAGAGCGCCAAATGAAAGTTTACATCTGGTCAGGAAGAAAAGGAAATTTTAAACAACGGGAACGGTGAATAATAACTAATTTTTATAGTCACACGGAATTTTAGGACATATTTTTGGAGATGCCATCTACTTGGGGCCTTTACACCCTAGCGTTAGCAACAACAGAAATCCATGTGACAGTGACTCAAGTCGTGCAGGCCTGGTGTGACCGGCTGGAAACCCGAAACCCCACTTCGCCGGACACCCTCCCGCCATATGATATATGTTTCTTTGGGTTTGTGAAATTCGATTGCATTAAAGTAACAATGGGCCAGCCAGACCAGAAGTCATGTATGAACAAGAAAATAAGGCGGAAGAAAATACTTATGTGACGCTTTATTTTATTTGCGTAACAAAGCCATGACTGTTGGATTAAAAACAAACTAAAGGTTGCGACCTGCATAGATGACGTGTAATTACAAAGATCTGAACATTCGACAAATCACCAGTAAGTGTGCTCATCCGCGTTGAAACGGAATTTCAAATTCAGGATGTCTAATTATCTGCCTTTGAGCCGTCGCCGTGTAGTTGGAAAATGTCCCTACTGCTTGGGTCCAGAAGCATAATTCAGCAAAGGGTTCATTCAACCGGGCGTAGGTATTCTTCGAGAAACTCTAACTCTGGAGACAAGGTAGACCGGAATGAGTATCTGCTGCCTGAAGTGAATGCTTTCGCAATGTGACTTGGTCTGGTCATTGGCTGTCTGCCACTACGAGGTCGCCTGCAAGGGTTCCCCATTGGAACTCTACAACAAAAGGGAGAAGGCAAGCCTTGCGTCCAGACCGGACAGATGAGCGCTCTTCTCCCGGGCCCCTCCTCCCACTTGTCCCATTGGTCAAACAGGGAGGAGTGTGTACCGATCTATCTTAACTGCAATTCGATCGGTTTTGCCTTGAAACTGGGATTTCACAGCAATGCGGACGGCCACGTGCCGTCTAGCAAAATTAATCACTCAGAGGCGTTATTGACGAAACAGTGATCATTCTGATGGACACTTAGGGCTTGTTATCCGCGGTCTGACAGTAAGACCCCGTAGCACCTCACACGTGTATGAGGCTTCCGCCTCTCTCACCTACGTCGTGTCAAGAATCACCTGATCAGGACTCTCGCGCGGTCGGAACAGGCGCGTACGCGCCTCCGGCAGACAGCCAAACACAGGCGACCACAAACTTTGTAACCCACCCCGTCAACTTGCCAAGATGACGCTGATTGACACCCCACACGAAGCTTATACATTCACACATAGACGCACGACTTCTAACTGCTCTTTCCCCCTTCTCTTCAAAACGGACTGAGCTGAGATTATTGTGGCGCTCTGAGTCCACTCACTGCTTAGATGCTAGAGCACAACCGGAGATATTAACTAGAAGTCACTTGATCACCAAGCAAACCACTAACCACCGCACCACAGACTCATGCCCCCTTGACAATTTCCTGTCTTGAAAAGTCAAGTTGGCAAACACGGGTTTTCGGTAATTCTTCGTCAGGCCCATACAGTTGCATGAAGGAATGAAAATGTACAAAATCAACAGTGTTTATAGGTGTCTCAAGGGCTATTAAGTCATTAACACTCATCATCCCCACGCCGCCTGCATGACAAGGTCGGCGGGTCTTGGTCCTCAGAGCTAGGGGAGGGCAGTAAGAGAGTCTTTGAGTGATGTTCTTGGATTGAGTACACGGAATACCCGCCACTGCAATAAGGGATTTGAGGCGGCATGTCGTCATCACTTGGGGTTGGCTTTGGCCACGACAGAGAGAGCGCTTGTGTCAGGGTTTTCTGACAGTTTAACACCGGATTCGCTAGCCGTATAGCCACTGCCTCGGCCGTTGCTAGTATCCGTTGGCGTAGGCCTTTAGATAAGCATGTTTGTGTGCGTTAGACAACCTGAAATGCTTCCTTGGCATCGACTCGGTGAATCGTATCGATTAAATGTGCGAAAATAGAACTCGAAATCGACCGGGTGCCACCTCTGTCTAGCCAGGAGAGCATATGTTCACGCATCCTCTTTACCAGGCGTCTCGTTGTGCAGGCGCTGTATCCCGCTCCACAGAAGCAAGTGAATGAGTAAATGCACATTGATGTGTCCTCCAACGGTAGTCTGTCCTTACCTCCCAGACGTAGTGCCTGTCTCTGCTTCAGACCACGGGTGCGCTGAGCCGGAAATGCTCATCTCGGTGTCCTCCTCAATGCCGGCAACAATTATTGGGCCTTGTTATTTGTATTTGCAGCCGAGAGAGCGTGAGTGCGTTGCCTCACTGGTAGAACACAAGAATTTACACCTCCAGTGTACTCAATTTGGATTCTTGGTTGTTTCCCACCTCTGGCTGGGTATGGGTGACTGAAGAACTGGCGGAGGCCATTGAACCGGAAGCGGTCATTAGGCTGCCTCGTCTTCGTCTACCATTCGTTCGCTGTGTCACAACAGTGTCTTTTCATGCATTCTCCACTTTCGGCGCTAGGTCTTCCTCCTCAGGCGCGTTTACTGGGCACGAGAACAGCTATGTCACGGCGATAGCTGCTATTTACTTTAACAAGAATTGACAAGCAACGTCTAAATCAAAAATATACAACATGTAGGTTCGACAGCTGGAAATTTGAGGAATGGCACAAGACTCTGTCCATTACACTGGCATTGCTATTTACGTATTTATCGCCCTCTGAGTATCGAGGTTTTATCACGCACGTCATGGGCTTTTGCACATTTTCTCTCCGCTCAACTCTGCCCTCTTTGACTTGAAAAGGGCATGTTGTATACAATTCAACAAATGCGCACAAATCCGGCGTACTCAGAAGCCAACTTTCTACTCCCCCTCGAGGCCTAGCAACCAGTATAGCCACCACATGGACCCGTTATTGTGCTTCTCTTTCCAGGATCTTAAAGCACAAGGTTCTTTTTTCTCTCTGACATGCGTCAGCTTGTGCTCCAACCAACAGCCGATCGAACAGGGAGCGGTGATTGCAGGGTCTGACAAATCAGCCCCAACAAATCACAGACTAGCGTACGTTGCACCCCCTGTGTGCTCGCAATCGCACACCTATGCGGTCTGACTCAGCCTCAGAATAGTGGTGTTGCTTACGCAAATCTGCACACTCCAAGACCAGCAAGAACGACAGCTCCTACCCTACTGCTGAAGTAGCAGAGCAATCTCCACTGATATCCACTTAAGAGGGCTACGAAAACGGTCCTAAAAGAAGTCGACAAGTAACGGTCGCCGTACCACATGTCCCCAGCGAAGGCGTTAACCAACACTACAGAGGCTACCACGTTGACGACAGAGGTCTTTAATGTCACAACTACATTATCGCCCCTTCTGCAAAACAACTTCCTTTCATGGGCCAGTCGTGAGCTGCACATCACCAATGTTGCATTGCTGATTTTCGTCCTCATCCTCATATTCATTGCCATTCTTCTTGGACTAATCCTCCTCATTTGCTGTTGTCGTGCCTGCTGTCGAAAGGCAAAAAAACGTGGGCCTCAATACCAAAAAATGCCCAGTGTATACAAGGATCAACTGCCAGGCGCCTTGGAAGACATTGATGGCGAAATATTAGGCACACTGGAGTACTCCCTGGAATATAATATGACATCGAAGACACTGAAAGTCGGCATTATCCAAGCTATGGACCTCGTCACCCCACCGGGTTCAGGCACAGTCGATCCCTTTGTCAAGGTAAGTGTCAAGGGAACGCCGTCTCTGGAAAAGCCAAAATCCAAGGTGAGGGTCGCCAGAAAAGTCTACACAACAGACATTAAGCGAGACACTACATGTCCTGCATTCAATTCTGCCTTCGTCTTCAATGTGCCCTATGATGACCTCAAGACTGCCGTTGTGCACTTTGTCGTCTATGACGCTGATGAACCTAATCAACCTTTAATAATTGGAGGACTAAATGTTCAACTGAGCTCGCTACCGATGGAGAACTATGTTGGGAAGTCCTACGAAACTACAGGTTATCTCAAGAAGACTGCTGACTTCACGGATGAGTCAGGTCAAATTTGTGTTGTCCTCACACACGATCCAGCTCAAAATGAACTCAGCGTCAACGTTCTGGAGGCCAAGCAGTTAGACCTTCCAGAATTCTATAGGAAGCACCCACCTGAAACACTGGTCTCAGTTACCCTTCACATTGGCAAGAAGAAGTTGGCTAACAAGAAGACACGTGTCAGAAGTGGAACCCTTGACCCCTACTTCGGTGAGACGTTTAAGTTCCAGGTGGAGAAGCAGAAGCTGATAGTAGCCTCGTTGACATTAAAGGTGAAATACAAGGGTCAGGGTTTGGTGTTCAGGAATGCTGGCAAAGTTGTATTAGGCGCTGATGCCTCGGAACCCTCTGGTCGAAAGCAATGGGAAGAAATGTTAGCTCACTCAAGACGCCCCGTGGGCATGTGGCAACCCTTATCCACTCCTGAGAAATAGACTTATAAACTGAATGTAAGCGATGACATTTCACGAATTGACGCTGCTCTTTGTAAGTCTTCCTATTGAAAGCCAAAAGTCTTCATATCTTTTTCAAACGGATTAATATTCTTCGGTGAATTGCATCAGATGATATATTATTAGACTTGTTCTGTGGACGTAAAGTCGTGGACGGCATCTCCCTTGTAATGACGAAAAATGCCGAGTTTCTCCTCTTTGATTATTTTTTACCTACCGACTTCGTTTTTGTCGTCCCTGTATTAACATTTCCGATGAATAAAGTTTCTGCTAGAAAGTGCATTTTGAACGTGCATGTGCACTTTCAAGGCGATTTTTCGGCCAAGTAGTTGGAATGTTTGTGCAGAGGATAAAAGTCAAGGATAACGGATTGCTATGCCCTCGGTTATTATTACACTGAGACTGTGGGTTCCGCAAACAACCAGTTTGGGTTGAACGAAAGGAACGTGATTGGCGACAGTTAATAAGCCAGAGGTGGCCATTTCATCCTCATTCGTCTTCGTCAGCAATGTCAGTAGAAAAGACTTACATCCGAACTTATGTTTAGGAATGGTATCTGCCATCTGTAGTTTCATACAGCCGAACGAGCTGGATGGCATAAGTAGGAGGACAAACGATCTTCCCGAACCAACTTCCTCCTGGGGGAAAACTGCGGCACTATACAAATTTCACGTCCCTGTTTGTTACAAATATAACATAACGTTGTTTTTTGCCAGTATAAAAATTGCGTCGCAGAGAATTAAGATATACGTTTTGTTAGTCGACGCGTTGCCTTTTCAACTCGCCAGCAGAGCACTGTTATTATCTAACCGATCAATAACAACGGTTTTGGACGGCAGCTCTTTTACGCTACAGACTTGAAATGAATTCACAAACCTAGATGCCTTTAGAAGTTCTCAAAGACAGTCGTTTGATGTTTGAGCCTGTTGAACTTGTTGATGCGAGTTTAAATCGCCCTTTGTACTATAAAAAGCAGATTCGTTCGCAGCATAAAATAGCACTTAGCATTACGCACTATGGAGGCACGAAATACCTCCGTTAGCAGTTTTAAAGGGTCCGTGACACTACCATGTGCTGCGGTCAGCGCTCTGCAACATCTTTGTAGCCGCAGCTGTCCAACATTTCCCTTTTTCGGCAAATCCAGTGCACAGCATTATAATCACTCAAATATTGCCTCACAGCATGTAAACCCCAAACACTTAAGGAATAAAGATGCTAAAAAGTCAAACTTTACGGGTGTGACAGCAGAAGGATCGCCAAAAATACGCTGAGCGTTAATATCTACCTGAAGGATCTTAAGGATCACAAAAATAGTCTCCTCTCATACCACTTTTGTCTCGTAAACAGCTTAAAATCAAACGATGTTTTGGCATGCACAAACGTATCAGCTTAGTATTTTCAACTGCTTTTAAGCCAATTTTTACTCCAGTAATGCAACCACTCTAAAGGATTACTGTAAGTCGGGGCATTGCTTTAAACGCTTCCACAATGGCCAGTCGACCAAACTCCCCAAAACGTTTGCATCACAATAACTCTGTGTCAGTGAGCTCTTGCTCTTGCTTAAATTATCATTTTCGTTTCGAAAATACGGTGGAGTGGACACCTCAAGTGACGAAATTATGTGAGCAGGCTAGACTGAATGGTCACTGGAACTACTGTACAGCAGGTGACACAACTGATGAAAGGTGTTGAAAATTACAACTTACTGTTAATCACTCGTAAACCGGCACCAATGCATGAACTCCACATTTACATTAGTAAAGAACAACGTTAAGAGAACTGAAAATATAAGAAAAATATTAAAGGAATTGTTACGTTGTCCAGAAATGCCACTTTTTAGAAGAGCGGAAGACTCCTAAAACGTCAAAAATGGTTGTAATTGAGCAAATTTCAGTTTTAAATTTTAGGCATGTCTGTCTGTCTGACCGCACAAATAGGACAACACCTAATAATAGTATCATATTGGGTTTTACATTCAAAGATATTTTAAGAATTAGTTTAATGTCAGGTTTTACGGCTTGCCAAGGGCCTGAACACTGAGTGCATATTCCAAAGCGGTCTACTGCGAATTCTTTTATTTTTCATTTTTGGCTTACTTGAGATGCGCTTTACTAAGGCAAACAGGGTTTTACTTTAGTTAGCCAATAGGGATGCCATAGGGATGAAATTTTTCATAAAATCACATGTTTCCAGGCCTGTGGGTGATTACTGAGCATAAGTAGCTTTGGCGGATGCGATCGTAAACATACCACTTTGGGGATATAAAAAGAATGCTTATTTCGTGAAATTAATTTACATTTTTTCCTTTTTACTGGACTACGTTGAGTCTCAGATCGACCTTGGAATATCGTTGAATATGTCATGATTTTTAGTGTTCGATCGATTACCCAGAAGGACTGATTCTATATTATGTGCTTGTTAAAATCGTCAAAATAAGATACTTATTGATGGTAGTTATCGAAGTAGTGAGTGGCTGGGCGTTCTTATTTGTGTAATAGGCCGTTCGGGTCACATGTAAAGATTCACCCAAACAAGAGACTTCACTGTCGGATAAAATGAACCTTCACAACAAAGTTCAGCAACGAATAAGCTTTCGATCAATTAGATTTTTCCAATAAGTTACCTCTCTATGGAATGTTTCAATGCTGCATTCCGTTGACGGTAAAGCTAATAAAAAATTGACAATATTGGCCGTTTCTTTCACGCTTCCAAAAAAACAGTGTCGATATTTTTCTATCGCAAATGGTAAGCCATACGCTTCTATTCATGTTGCGTCTATTTTCGATTTTTTTCACTTGTAGGCTGTTTTTTTGCGATTATGAATGCACTGCGGAAGTGTCATACAAATGCATATTTTGCAAAACCCGAAGATGTTTTCCCCGTTCAACTTTTATATTACGTACATGCAGAAACTAGACCGCACGAAAAGTAATGTTCCATATGTTTAAAACTGAAAATGAATATTCGGTGGCAGTCATTTCTGTGACAAGAAATATAATTTCCCAAAAGGCAAAAGAACTTCAGCCCATTTAAACAAAGAATGACCTGTTTGCGTTATTATTGCACTCTAGGGCACCAAATCGCATAGATTTTCTAACCTGACTTCCATAAAATTATAAAACGCTTGAACCTTTAAAGATAACATGTGTGTTAGCCAATTGATTCCCACTATTAGAATCGGACACAAAATCAGTTTTCAAGTGCTACAAGCTCTGGTAAGTTAGACTCTCGAGAGTAAACTAATCTTCTCTCAAAGAAAAACACGCTCAGATGTGCAGCCGAAGTCTAGGACAGGTACTAGCATAGGAACCCGGTCAACTATATCGTAACGTACATTTCCGCTCAAATTTATAAAAGTTTTGCCTGATAAAATTGAGTGGACGCATTTTCTGCACAACAAAAGGACGGTTAATTGATGGAGCTAGACGAGTGAGCAAAATACGCATCATCTAGGACGTCCGGAAATTGTTCTATTAGTTTCTGTCGTCAGTTAGGTTACGTAGTGAAAGTATATTTCTGGGAACATTATTTCTTCGCTTCATCGTACAGAAAGAGATCGACCTGTCTGAGGTGATCGTTTCTATGGGTCTTTCCCATCGTGGCATAAGCTCAGATTGCAAATTCATCATTTACTTTACCTGCAAGCTGAGGCCTGGAATTGTAAAGCAGCACTGCGAACTCTCTACCGCAGAGCGCGTTAGGATATCTCGGAATCTTGAAGACGGAGACACGATCGCTGGGACAAGAGCTTTATTAGCCTGACGTTTCTGACTTCTGCTCGAGCCCATCATCAGAGACCAAAACAGATAAGGGTGATTCATGCATAAGGGGCTGCAGTATTTATAGGGTGCATTAGCCATGCTACCGCATACCTATGAATATTCACAGCTCCTCCCTTCATCGAGGATCGTTGCCCGTGGTATGATGGCCGACATTCACTTCGTTAATTGCTGCAATGTCATCACGTGCGTTGGATGTTGGTGTGATGAATGCTCGACTATCTGACGTGCTAACCCTGGTGTTGGGAAAAGTGTTTACCTGTGCGCTCCCCGCGTGGCCAATTACTCCGTCTGGGCGAAGTCTTAGCACCGAGTATGGAATGGGAAGTTCATTGCACTTGTAAATAGACTGGGGGCCAGTAAACCATGACTCAAGCAGCTCCCGGCTCAAGCGGTTGTCACCTCTTGCGAGAATGTCGGCCTCATGGCATTTGAATGCGTGGCCGGACAAAGCAACTACGTCGGAGAAACCGGAAGACAGCTCCGAACGCGAATGGTCGAACACGCTGCAGCGGTGCGGAGAAATGACGTTTGTTCCCAAGTTGCGGCTCACTCGACGACTAATGTGAAGGCCGGCTATTTTAGTCATGATTACAACCGCAACACTTAACAGGAAAAACTGGCAGGGGACAGCTTTGGAGGCCAACGGAAGGCCCAGTCGACGACTGATAGTGTTGTCTTCTGACTTCCAAGCCTCTGTTATTTTGACAACATCTTTGCATTAGGGTCTTCCAGCTACTTGTATGTTGTTCAGGGCAAAGTGATAACACTTCTGGAGTCTTCGCATGGTGTCGTTATAGTGAACATTATACCACCTCAGCGTTAGTTCTTGCATCCGCGTCCCCAGACACTTGTCAGCCACAATGACTGACACTGCAGTTATGACAAACCCCGTGGTAGATGACAGCTGGCAAGCCTACGAGGAACAGCCTATCTTTGGACTGTATGCATCTTTGCGGTCTGACATTTTGATCGATGTCCTAGATTATCTCGAAATGGTCTCAGAGTACAGCGTCTGGGGGGGGGGGTTTCGAGCACAGTCCTCTGGTGTAGGGCATGCAAGCTATCGTCCTCCTTTTTGCTTCAGCCAGGGTATTTTGTACAATCGACATTAACACTTGCTTACGAGGCTGCGAGCCATCCATAGGATCGAAATGCCGTAGTAATTAAATGCGGTCTGTTAGCTTTTCGTAAACTGCACTG